CAGTAGTTCCGGTCAGCCAGGCCGCTGGGGGCGCTGTCTCTCCTCTGTTTCTCGCAGCTTCAAACCTTCCATCGCTTTCCTCCAGCAGCGGACTGACCAGGCCCCTCACAGCCGCTACTCGGTGGCCCCCAGCCGGGCAGATTCCCGCTGCAGACCCGGCAGGTGAGACCGCACCAGCTTCACCAGAGGCCGGCGGTCCCCGAGATCCCCACCGCTCCGGATGACGGATTCACGGACCGCTAAGCGGGGAAAAACCGGGGCTGCGATGCACACATAAACAGAGTGCGACACGCACGCACACCCGCAAAAACCCGACCAAAACGGGCCCCTGTTGCGTTTCGGGGCTCGGGCTCCGAGCCTGGACCACCGGCGGTTCGGTTCGGGGGGATAAAGCTGCTGTAATAACCGTGTGGGGGGAGCTGACGCCGCGCTGTCAGACGAGGAAGTGGGGCTTGAAACACGCCCATCATCCAGGCTGCTAACCCGCGGAGAGCCGTTCATCAGAKAAGCGACACTCGGATCAACATGCGCCCGCTCTCCCATGGACCACACCGGGATTAACCCGCGGGACGACGCCGTTACCTGCAGGTAGGTGAGCGGGGAGGCTGGACTCCGAGCCGCTGGTTCCTGAACGGTACCGGAGGCCCGGTGTGTGTTCTCCATCTTTATGCTGTTTTTAACGCCACGCGCCCGATCATCTCTGGCCTAACTGTGCGGTCCAGATGTCAGCATCTGCAGCTGCACCTGTCAGCGCGTGCCTTTATTCACCTGAGCTCAGGCAAACAAGCCCGCTGATCAGAACCGAACCTGCATTTAGAGCCAGAGGAAACAGCTGGGGCTTTATTCCAGAACCACAGCTGTTTATTAAAACGTTTCAAAAACACGAAGTGAAACTAATTCACTGTAAAAATAATTAAATTTATAAATTAAACCTAAAAAACCCAACTGTTGTTATTATACTGTAAAACAAACCTGTTGAATATGGTTTGACCTGACTTACACTGTAAAAACAAAATGCAGGAACATGTATATATTTTAACTTGCACTGTAAAAACTATCTGTTGACATTTATAAATTACCCTAAAAATTATTATACTCTAAAAACAAACCTGTTGAAGGTTGTTTTACCAGACTTACACTGTAAAAAATAAACCTGTTGTAGTTTTTAAACACTGTAAAATAAACCTGATGAATTCTGTTTTAAAATCATCTGCACTGAAAAAAACAACTAAATATATTATTAAATTAAACAAAAAACTGTTATTACACTGTAAAAACAAACCTGTTGAGTATGGTTTAACCTGACTTACACTGTAAAAAGTAAACCTGTTGTAGTTTTTACAACCCTGTGAAGTTTGTTTTAAATAACTTACTGAATAAAACAGMTGTTATAGTTTATCCACACCATATGAACATGTGTTCTAATTACTATATAATCACCTTTGTATACTGTAATTATTTAAAGTATCTTCCTGTAAAACAGAACCTTTAATGTCTTTTCATTAACATGTATATTTTAATATATGTTATATTCTACACTGTAAAATCACTTAAAACAGCAGCTTTAATCAATTGAAATGTTTTTAAAAGTCACAGCTGTAAAGTCCTGAATGTTTAAAAGAGCTAAAACTAGTTTGTGTAAAATAAACAGCTGTTGTTTACTAGTTTTTGTTTTTGTTTACAAAGTTTGCTTCAGAGTTGAATGATGGACAAGGAGGTCCTCCGTCAGAGCCAATCAGAACAGACCTCCAATGGCCCCGCCCCCTCCACGCCTACGACC